TTATTAATGCTTCACTTAGTGTGCCAATCATAGTTCTATCTTGTAGCTGGAAACTGACTGTTGATAATTGCAGAAGAACACTGGGACTTAATCCCACCTTGGATAGATAATTGTCCAAGCTTATATACGGACACATTAGACATTTTTCATAGAAAACCAATAAATACTACTTGTATTCATGGGGGTACTGTGACTTCCTTTCCCACATGCATATATGCAGTTCACTGTTCCATAGGTTAATCAGTCTGATATGGGATAACTACTACAGATCATAAGTTCAAACATTTCATAGCTGATACTGATTGAAAAGCTTCACAGTCCATCTAACCCAAGAATGCAGTTACCTTAACTGAGGCCATCAACAACTGCCTTCCATCTGTAAGTGAAATCTTCTAAACATACCCAGAGTGTGACCTCTACATTCATGTCTTGTTTATCTTCATTCACTAGAACAATGTTAGTGTGATAGTTCTGAGTTTTTGTTTTTTCCTGATATACATTGAGATATACTATTATTCTGACCACTCTTGTATCAACTGGGAACCCTTATCTCTTGCCCTTGCTCTCCTAATAGGTTCATATCAAGATCCATCCAGTCCTGAAAGTGCTGGTCTGACCACCACACTTAAGTGCTAGCTGCTAGTTGAATTCGTAGTGTCAGTGGCCATTTCCAACTACAGCTTTTCTAGTTTCTCATAGCTACAGCCACAGTATTCACTACCTACAGTTAATTATAAATAAACAACAATTGCCTTGTCTATCTTGCTGCTTGGCAGTTCATATAAAAGTGACCCAATGCTCCACAACTAAAGAATGTATCTTACTTCTTCTTTCAAGGGTAATGTTCAGATGAAAGCCTTGTTAGCATGTGTTGCAACATAAAACCTTTGGGAGGACTTAGATAACACTGCCATCTTACTGGATACTGGTATGGTTGGTTAATACATAGTTGAGTTCAAATCTGGCACAATGTAGCTGCCTGGATAGGACAGTCTGTTCAAGGTAAATTCTTCTTCTTTTAAGACTGATTCAAAGTTATCACTTCTTATTGCACCACAATAGAATGCACCTCAGTAGTGGTGAAAAGATATATCATTCACAGGTGATACCACATCATTTTTCCAGATAGTTCTTCCAGACTTGTCTACGTGGATATCCCTGCACTCTGCCAGGGAAGGCCATTGCAAGGTAAGCTGTACCATCCAAATGGTACATATCTGTTAAATGTGAATGTGACTTTTTGCCCCTTAGATAACTGAGTTGTCCACAAAAGCATTGGCACAGTGCTGTAGAGACCCTCAGTGGTCCTGAAGCTTTGATGAAAGGTAGGCTTCTCATCCAAGGTGGCAGAATGATATAGTGCTGTAGGCAACTCATCTGTTGGCTCTGCTTGATTCCACGCTTACTAGAGGATTTGCTGTCTTGCCTAGTCCAAATCTTTCCCATAGTGTGGTTCTAATAACCTCCAGTGTTTCAGTAGGTTTGTTCTTACTTAAGAGAGCCATCTATTTGATACATCTGAGACTACCTCCAACTCCAGGCCTCTACTCACCAGTCAAAAGTCCCAGAATTTGTGATTCTAACGGTGGATGCGGAAGTCAGGATTATTCACTACTCTTTCTGTTGTCTATCCTCATCTTTGACTTATTTCCATCTATCGCCCCTAGATAGATTCTAATTATTTTCCCCAGCTAGCCAACCAGCTTTACCATGGTTTCTACTCATTTACTGCTTGGTGACTCAGGAACCTCTACATTTTCCGTCTTGGAGGTCCCTTTTACATACACCTTAAACATCTATCTTTTACCATGACATGCCACACCTTCATCTTCATTCATATATCTTTTGTCTGGTCTTTTCAAAACATGCAGATTAGGCTATTTTCTTGCTTACTTTTGTCAGCTCTCTTTCCTTATTAATAGTGCAATTAGATGGTTGATTGATGTTGTTACATTCTCTACTCCCATCTTCAGATCACATGACTCTCCTTTCTCTAACTTCCTTTTTACTGGACTTTTCATGAGTGGTCTTTACATTTTTATTGCCACCAGATACAGAGTGGCTTTGTTGATGGTCTTTCATCTTTTTTCTGGCCATTTTTATGTTCTTTCTCTGGTTCATATGGACTTCTTCCGGGCGTTTCTAGTAATTCATCCTTGTCTAGTTCCTTTAATAGGCTGAAATCTCTGTTTAGTTGTCAAGGCTCTCACAAGTTCTCTGTTCAAGTTTTATGCCATTTGTTCAAAGTATCATCTTTCTCTTAAGACATTTCTTTTTCTTATTTGTGGGATTAGTCATTCAGATATATTTGCCTTAGATACCTCCTATACTTTTTTTTCACAGGGCCAGGCTCATGTTTTGTTCAGACTGTTTGTTCCTCCTCAAGAATTGTTTTCTACCATATATTTTTCTATAACTTCTATATATATGATAAACCTTCACATTTTGCCTGACTTTGTAACACTTTACAAAAAGCAGAAAGTTCTTATGACAGAATTTTTTCTGAATAACCACTTGTATTGGACAAAGAGTATTCCCTGTTTAGAATGGATGTGGTCTTTCACACAGTGCTGCTCCCATGAGGTCTCACCCTTCATTGGGAGATGACAAACTTCATGAGTTTTTCATTTTTGTCATTTTAATTTCAGGATCTCATCTATTTTTATTCATTTCTTCAAACTGGCCTCTATACCATATTTTCTGTTTGGGACTGGATTCTAGCTCTTTGTTCTGTGGGAAGGAGAATAACTTTGTCTGAAATTTACACTTCATTTAGCTGAAAATGTATTTCAGATAGATACTCACCTCTTCACAGATTCATCCACCCTATCCCCAATTGGAGTGTTCTCTTCACCTCAGCGAGAATAAGCTTTTGGTCTACACAAAATTCTCAATGGGATTACTGTACCAAAAGGATATGGAGGAGCATAGTCTAATGTTGATTGCCCGATAGACTATCACAATTAAGTTTTTTATGTTTATGGGTGAGATATGTTAATATGGCTTGGCACCTAAACAAAAACATTTCAGCAGCAGTATCAAAGCCCTAGCTATTTCTTCTGTGGGGTGATCAGTATCTATCTGTAGTGCATTTAAGGTGAAAAAAAATTTTTAGTTTTGAACTTCTTCAATTTATTATATTTGCATTTTTCTTATAAGCTTTATTTTCAATGTTTTAATTTAGATGTGTACTAAAAGGAGCTCATTAAGATGAGTTATGATCTAGATATTATTTTGTGGAATTTGTAGAAGTAGGGTTATGTTGAAATTGCAAGAATCAATAAGCAGTTAATGAGTTATTCAGAATTCAATTTGTGATTTGGTTCAGAGTCAGTGGTCAGAATTATTACATATACTAGCATATAGCCCATCAAAAATGACAGGGCAAGTACTACCACTCCCATCCCATAGTATACCCTAACCTCACATTTTACAGCTAACTGAAATAAATACATTTTGTGAAATCAAGTTTGACCAACAAAGAGGCAGAAAAGTGCTATTGAGACAGTCAGATATCAGTAAATTTCTTTGTGAGCCAATCAAAATTAACATCATTCATGAAATTAATTTGTGGCATATTGGTAGAATAATTATTGGTAAGAATCAGTTAGATTAGCAACTTCTAATATATAAAAAAGCCAGTGCATTTTGGTAACACTACATTGCAACATTGGTTTTTATATAATGTTGCTTAGCAGCAAAGGTATAACCTAATATCATTGTTAGTTAATGCAGTGAAAGTATAAAAGAAATGCATTTTGGTTTTTGTGACACCTCCTGTTTCAAGAAATTAACCATGACATGACTCACACTGGCTTTTATATTGGGTAGGTTAGCATAGAAATTCAGTAAATTTACTTGTAATTTAGACATGGTTGAATTAATATTGCAGTTTCTATTGAAGCACTTTTTGTGAACTTAGGCCCGACCGTGGTCAAAGTGAATATAGCCTGTAGCAAATATTATTGGAGAAATAAATTAACTCATTATTGTTAGATGGATCAGAAGTTGCCTTATTTCGCCAAATAATCCAGAAGACTCATCCAATGATGAAATACCTAACAAAAATGTTTTTTTTGTTTTTACAACATTTATGTACTTTGACATTCAACCCAAATATCATAATATATTCATTATTTATACATGTGTACATTAAATGATTTTGTCATTTAACTCTTGTGATAATACACGAACATCACTGGAAGAAACATTAAACCTGCTAATGATTTTATCAGTTTAATGTTTTTACTCTTTGGTTCTCTAACGTCAGTCTATCTGCGGAATAGAGAGTATCTGAAGAATTGGTGATTCTTTAAAGCTATATAATAAAAAAACTCAAGAAACAGTAAACTAAAGTTGAACTGAAGAGGACATGTGAAAGTATAAAAACTTGTTTCCATTTAAACTTTTGGTTACATAATAATGGATCTAAACTTGAGTATTGTGTATTTACCTTCAATTATCAATCAGTGATGTTTCAAAATAGAATATAAATTTAAGCAAAAATGTATTGAAATATATATTATTTTATCAAATAAACATAGCACACAAAAATTATGTAAAAGTTTAAGATAAGCTCTCAGTATTTTTTGTTGCCTTTTTTAAATAAGTTTAGACATGTTTTCTTCCATTGTTCAAATATTTTGTTATATTTTTTTAATGTTTTGTTTATATAACCTGCTTAGGATTAGTTTCATTTTTGCAATCTGGTTTATATTAACTTAGTTGATTTTGTTTGATTAATTATTTTTACATGTTACTCTGTAGATATAAGTACTCTCTTTTTTTTATATTTGAATTATGTAAATTGACATATCTCTGTAGTGCAAAACCATACATTTTTCATGACCAGTTGTACTAATTCACTAAAATTAGAAATGCAGTTTGTAGTATGTTTTATAAATGGTGAATTTCTGATAATAGAATTATAAAATCCTGATAAAGAATTTTGTACTTGTAAATTGCAGTTTAAAAAGGGAAATTGCTGTTGTGTTCCATAGGTTTCTGAAATTATTGATGCACTTGGTCTAAAAGATTGCGCCAATACAAAAACCTGTCAGATTTCTGGTGGTCAGCGTAAACGCCTTTCCATAGGTCAGGAACTCGTAAATAATCCATCAATAATATTTTTGGATGAACCAACCAGGTATGTCAATATTCATAAGTTTTATTTTTTTAAATTTTATCTTTGTCATAAACTTGTATAGATTTTTTCCTTCATCAAGGAGCATTAGAAATACTTCATGTTACTCATTTGTTAAGAATTTTAATGCATAGCTGCATTTGTACATAGTATCTGTTAATGTTATAGTATATTGTGAAAGCTTTATGCTTCCATGTAACATGTGCATTTTTTTTAAGTTTCCTAGTACCTTTAAATTAATTCCATTATCATTTTTTTACTTAACATTTTCCTTGCTAACATTTTAATTTTTTTAACTACTGATGCCAGTTGCTGCGTACTTGAATAGTGTGTTTAATATTTAATACAGAAGTGTGGGTTAAAAAGAAAGGTTGAGCAAGTTTTTTTAACATTCATTATTTTCTCAGGAATTGGCAAATAAACTTAACAAATGCATTAACCCTCTCACTGTGGAGAGGTCAAAGAGCTTGTCACATTTTAGAGTTATTTAAAAAAAATTAATCAAGTAACTTTATTGTCAATATTGTGGTTCATAAAAGAAATTTTAATATTTTATATGTTTTAATATTGTAGTTCAAAAGAAAGTATTAAAAACAAGATGCTAAGTATCCTTTTTTTTTATCTCACAGGTCATGTTCTCTTATCTTATTGGTCACTTTTATATTGTATTACACCTATCATACAACATCTGTAGTGATTAATGAATTATGAACCTAAATTTCAGATATTTGAAATATAAAATAATAACCTTCCATTTTAATTTGCTGAGATATCAATATATTTAGTAAACCTACCAGAGTAGCTCCTCCCACTACTTGTAATGTTTACTAAAATCTTGAAAGATTTTTGTGAAGATACACAAAACATGTTAAAAGTATTAACAAGGAAACTCTGATAGTCACATGGTCAGTGTAGTATACTGTGTAGCGAAAGGATTAAGTAATATACACATTGTAGCTTACTGCACAGTATTTTGTTATGAATTATTTTCTAAATAAGAGATCAAAAGATTGATTTTAACTTTGCTTCTGATAACTTTTTAAATCAGATAAACATACTCAACTTGTGAAAATGGGAAATGTGTTTTTATTTTCTGGAATTTAAGACATAGTTGTTTATTTGAAAGTTACTACTATTTTTGTTATTGTATGTTTCATTTTTATTTGAACATTGTGAATCCCGTAACTCCTATATATTCAAGAAATAGATGTTTTTTCCTGACCATGAGATGATAAGGATTTTATACCTATGGTAAATATATGTTGACAACACCTTTGTTGGTTTCACTTTTCCAAATATATATATATACACGTTTTTTGAACATATAAACTCCACTTACCCTAACATTAAATTCACCATTAAACACGAAAATAACAAACAGTTATCATTTCTTAACCTTGACATTATTAGATCTGACACGTGGTTCAAAACAAAATTCTCTGAAAAATCGCTCACACAGTCATCTACTTTCCCTGGAATTCTGCCCATGAATCCAAACTAAAAATCAATATATTAAAAAACCTTATTGACACAGCTTTAAGACTGCTCAACTGACTATATAGATGAAGAAATCAACTCTATAAAGCAATGCTTCATTCACACCAATAAATTTCCCCTAACCATTGTAAAGCTGTCTCCAACCTTTTTTCTAAAACGGGAGTTCCTCCTCATCAAATTCAATCCTAACTGTGTGTTGCTACCATGATAGTCCAGAAGCTAAATAACCAATTACTTCTGAAAACATTCCATATTACCACTGAAGATTGGAGCCCACATATCACTATGTAAAATATGTGTGATGATAAATCTAAAACTGTTTGTCCAGAATGTGAGGAAAGTGTTGCTCTGGGAACTTAAATCATCCTAACATATCTATAAGTTACACATCAGAATTTTTACAAATCATAGAGAACAAAAGCAGATTTCATTTTATCCCCTTCTCCAAAATACCCATGAAGTTACCTGAATACACACAGGTGGACTCCTGAGGATGTAACTTGCTTAAGTATGTTAGCTTGTTTTCTTGATTTGTTTAAGGCGTAGCTAATATTCAGTTAAACTTTTCACCGCTCAATAAAGATGCTGGCTTTCCTCATTCTAACGATACAAATAAATAAAGGTAAGCCAGAATATTTTTGTTTAGCTAATTATTATTACAGTGAGTTTTTAAAAGCCACATACTTATTTCTTTCCAAACACACACACATATATGTAATCTGTTTATAAAATTTTTTGCAGATTAAATAATTAGTATTAATGAATTGTTGTGTGTTGCTGTATTAATTTACACACACATGCCCATTTTATTTTATGTTTTTACTTAATTTAAGGACATTAACTGCCTATCACGTGTCAACTATATTTAATCAAGCTAGCTGTTTATTAGTTATTTATTCTGGCTACAAATGTTATAAAGTGTGATAGTAAGCAATGCCTCACATGTCCTTCTTTTAGTTCTTTTCATCTGATTATATATATAATTATTCTTTTTGTAAAGTAAGAAATGTAATCTATTTATTAATATGTGATATATGTAATATGCAATATATGGGACAAACTTCTAATCCTCTACACATTTCCATGAATCTAAATAGATCTCAAACTAAAAATAAGGTAGTAAATTTGGTTGAATTAGAACTTCAGAATTCATCCCTTTGCTTTGGTAGTGATTACAATTTCAGAAATTTTAATTCAAAAACAAACAGATTACAAAAACAGAATTTTTACATTCTTAAACTATATCCTTATTTTTGAATCAAGATTATAATGGTACTACTGTTATAAATTTAATAACAGTTGTATTGGTAATTTTTTTGTTTAGATAGTATTAATAAAGAATATACAAAAAGAAGTATTATAGGAAAAGGTAAAAATAGAATAAAATGGGTCAATGTTTTAGATTTTTGTATGGATTTAAATATTAAGCTTTATTTACTTGCCAACATTCATTGTTATTTCTACAAAGATATATATGAACTAAACATTTTAATATTAAAAGTATCAACAAAAACTGTAATGTCATTTAATTTTCAAAATAATCATGCTAAACATTTCATTTTTGATATCATAAAATTTAGGTTTAAGATAAGTAATTTAAATGATCTAATTAAAAAAATACTAATAAGAAAATCATTATATATTATAATTAATTTCAAACATAAAATATTATGAGTTTTAAATATCAATTTCCAATAGGACCACTTTATATAATTATAAAGATTTTAAAAATAATTTAGGTATAAATAATGTGTACAATTTACTGTGCGATTGCTCCTCAATTTATTTGGAAGATTCTTTGCATAAACATATTATTACTGTAAATTTGGATATAATAAAAGATAATTCTTTATGGAAAATCAAGGAAAAGGTGCTAATATAGAATACCTACAAAATGTAAAAAAAATAGATATTTTAAATTCTATAATAAAAAAACATAATGATTATATTCTAAAACTTAATTATTCTACACATTATCTTCCAAATTGGTTTTTAGATTAGAGATATTTTATGATTAATAGAATTAAGGATAAATTAGCTTTTATTAATTTAAATATCCAATAGATTTAACATTTTTTCAATTTAAAACTTAAAATTTGTAAAATACAGGAGAAATATATTATTGTGCTTAATGATAAAGCCAATTGCAGTTTTGGATTTATCTGCAAATTTTTTATGCACAAATTGTAACTAATGAGATAAACACAACACAAACTCTTAAGTTATAAAATAAGTTTAAAGAAGATATTATTAACAAATTGTTGAAAGCTACAAAAATATTTGATGTTTAAATCAAATCCATATTTAAAATGACCATATCTATATGCAATACCCAAAATACATAAATCTCCTATTAAATTTTGTTTTATTTCTACTTCATTAAAAACTATACAGAAACAACCTGCCATTTTAATAAGCAAAATAGTGAATTGGTTATTTGTTAATTTACAACAAAATGTTAATAATAAATATAATTTCACAATAATTAAAAAATAATGAACCTCTCCTAAAAACCCTAGAAAATTTAAATAAAACACAATTAGCAGATACAATACATTATTTACAACTATACCACTTAATAATTTAGTAAAGTTGATAAATCTGGTAATAGATCAATTTATTGATTCACCTTTAAAAGTAGAAAATCAAACATTTACTGCTGATAATATTGAAAACATATTCAGTTTTTGTCTATGTAATAATTATATTCATTTTGATAAATGCATTTATATGCAAGTAGTAGGTATTGTTACATATCTGCTTGTTTGTTAATTTCCGGTATAAATTCTTTCTGAGGAACTTTAGCAATACAAGTCCCTTCTTGATTAAACCAGTTTATTGTTTCTCGATACAAACTTTGAGTACACAGTAATTCCACAGTCAGTACATTTCTCATCACTTTAAACTTAACGACTATTATAATACATGCTATAAATCACAGTGATTCACAATATTGATAACTTCGCTCTCTACGAGTGCAAAACACACACTAGCCCAAAACTCACCATGACTACTGTTCGCTTTATCATACATTGATCCTGACTTTTCTCGCCAGGCTTATATACTAACAAAGAGGCGTCTCGATCACACTCAAGTTTCCCCGATAATTCGAGACACTCAGTCATGCATGCGCTAGCAGCATCACATGACTTTCGCTGTAGTAACAGTATACTTATGGGATCTAATTATTCAAGTTGTGTTGCTAATTTATATCTTTTTTTATTATGAAAATAAATTCATAAATAATTTTACAAATCTGGAATTATTTTCCTTAATATGTAGATATATTGACAATTTAATTAGCATTAATAACCCAGTAAAAAATGTTACATATCTGGTCGTTTGTTAATTTCCAGTATAAATTATTTCTGAGGAACTTTAGCGATACAAGTCCTTTCTTATTTAAAACTACTTTATTCTTTTTTACACTAACCATGGCTGGAGCAATATATCACATCCATTTTCTGGGAAGGATATTAGTATATAAAAAAAGTTATGTACAACCAAAGGAGGACACACCATTTCAAAGAATTAGAATAAACCTTCAATGTTTTTCATATAAGAGAAAAACTTTTACAACATAGGTTTAGGGTAGCATTGTGGTTGAAATCATGCCCCAGCTCTTTTGGAACAACATTCCCATCTTTAAAGTATATGTATGGTTATGAAAGAGAACCCTCCAACCCAAAAATTCCATACTGATCAGAGACTTGCATATTTCTGGGTATAGTTAAAATGTTAATAAAAAGGAATTTTAAGCTGAGAGTAGCTGAAAGTCAATGGTTATTTCTCTTGAGAAAGATGGCTGAAAAAATTGGTATTACAGCAATCTCATTGAACTACTTACCTGTCAAGCCCCTCCAATGTCACTCTACTGGACATTTGTGCTTATGGTCTGCTTAACTGTGATATCGGAAGGTGACACCTTTCTACAGTTGAAGGTTTGTGAAATGTTTCAGTAAATGATGTTGTCTAGTATTGACCTCACTCTCTTTCATCAATAGGTATAGTAGAATAAGTGGAACAAGCTGAAATTATTGAAAGCTATTTCCATGGCTGTTTATAAAGTGATAATATCCTTAAATAATGGTCAGGGAGGGCTATGTTTGGAGAGGCAGTATTTTTTCCTGTATTTAAGGAGAACTATTCTAACATTAATCAACGAGTGACATGTAGCACTTGGGGCAAATCTATTGTTATTTTAACCAAATTTACATACTAAGCTCTTCCATGTAATTATGACTTTAGAAACAAGAAATGTAGGTGGTGAAATAACAATTGTAAAATCGAAGTTTATTTTAGTTTGAAATAGCTGTTAATTTTTCCAAATACTCAATGCTCCATGGTAGCTCAGCAGTAAGTTAGTGGACTTGTAACACTAAAAGTCAGGTTTTGATACCCATTGTGTTGCTTTATGCTGGGCAATAAACATTTAAGCAAACCAAATACACTCTCTCTCTCTCTCTCTCTCTCTCTATATATATATATATATATATATATATATAGTAATTAGTGTCTACTATAT